CAGCGCATTCAGTTCTCCAGGCGCTAGCTGGAAGGTAACGGTACCTTTGATTATTAGCGCAGGGTATAACACCACCAACCAAATGCAACAAGGCACAACCAACATGTACAACATATATACATAAACCATCCAGATACAAACAATGTGTTAAAGTGTATGAACACATAGGTGTGTGGAGTCCATCCCCTATCTTCTCACACACACTGGAGTACAACCCCTCTCTCCTCCCTAACAAGTGTACATATATAATGCATCTCAACATTTCATCACATAAGATGTTTAATCAACAATGGTGTAGTGCATACACGACAATTCAACACAACCACGTCATCCTCCACCAATGACCTATATTGTTAATGACTCTGTAGGAGTTAATGGCTAGCTGCATTGGGTTAAGTTTGTAATAGTGAAGGACTTGGCAAAAAAGGATGTCGAGAAAGAACTTAAGTCCGCACTCGATGAAAGCAACTACTGGAAAGGGCATGAGGTTGTTATTGGGCATAATGGAGCCCTCCTCCCCAGCCAACCTGAGTTAGACATCGGCAGGGATGGAGAACTATCTCCTAAAATACTCAAGCTTCTCTGGGATGTCCACCCTCCACCTAAACATACCCATGATGTCGGCAAGAGGGGTAAGGTGAGAGAATTCAGCAGAAAGAGGTTTGTGTGGGTTTTAGGAACCTCGGCTAAACCCAAAACAAAAACTAAGGCAAGGGTTTTTCAAGATCAATGGGCGTTTGTTTCAGTGTTCCTAAAAAAGTGATTTCTTTACCAAGACTCAAGCCTAAATCTATATAGAATCAGAAAATTGAAAGCAAGAATCTGGAAAATGCAACAAGGAAACAGAACAAAGAGTGTGATTTAGACTCACGAAAGAAACAGAAATTCACAAACATTGTACGAAGTGTGTGCAGATGTACAAAGCCAAGTATAGCGGAAAAACAAACAAGTGTGTGAGTGGTGTGTGTATATGTATACCCAGAAAGAGATTGGGTAGAAGCAAAATCATGAAACAAACATGCTCGATACACGAATAATAGAATTCAACACACAAGCAAATATTCAAGAACAGGTTCGCAATGGCCACAATTGAATACAATAAAATTTTGAAATAAATTGAAGACTGAAAAGGGGGAAGAACAGAGACTCACCGAAGAAGATGATGCTGATATGAAACTTGCCAGAGTCAGACGACATGAGTAGTCAAAGCCAGATGATGAAATGCTTGTCGGAAGAGATGGTTGGAGCAAGTTGCAGAAGCTTCAAAGTATGAAAATAGAGGATTTGAAAGAGAGGTTTTTTAAAAAGAGGAAGCTTGAGCGAAATCAGAAAACGTGAAGTGAAAAGACGAAGAGAGAGGGAAGTGTTTTTGTTAAAACATAAAAAGGCGGCAAAATTACATTGAATATGCTTTGGATGACGTGCTTGTCAGGCGGCGTGCGTAGAAGTGACGCAACTTGATGGCGTGTGTCAGGTACGGTTCAATAAGAAATAGACGCGTGGCAGAAACGGTTGAGAAATCGTGTATGACAGCTCATGCACAGATAGAACTCTTGGAGTTCTTAATTTAATGAAGCAAGGGCCTCGGCTAGAGGGATAATCCCGGTTAAAGAACATTAAAAACTTGGTTCTTGGTTTTTGGGCATTAGTAAAATAGACTACAAGTCTTATGGAGCCGACGTATTATGACCTCAGTAATAAAGATAGCGTAAGTCTTAGCTGACATGTTATATGGACAAACGATTTAGGTTCTATCACCTCAAGATGCCGAGGTAATAGAACCTAGAGGGTAGTTGTGAGGACATATTTTTGTGGATGACAACGCGTAGCCAAGGTGGCACCGAAGTGCCAGCTGAGGTGCCACGTGTCTAGGTCATGGTGCTGAGGTGATCTCGGCTAGGCCGAGGTTATCTGTGAAGATACCGAAATATGAGATGAACGGATAAGCTAAAAGATTCCTATAATGGGGGAGGACCTCAACCTGGATAAAGATAAAGCTCTTAGGGAGTTTATTTTTATCCATTGGAGAGTCCAGGATGAGCATTAAGTCAGAGTCCAAGAGAAACTAGGCTTCTACAGAGATCAGGTTAATGCTGGCTATAAAGTAGGGCACCCACGTGGGTCTAAGGTACGCTTTTTGTATCCTGGTTAATGAGTTAAGCACTGTTTGCTATCTTTGAGAGATAATTGAGTATTGACTTGATCATCGGAGTGCCCCCGAGTGGACGAACCACCGCCGAAGTCTTATCTTTCTGTGACAGGTTGTTCAGGTGTAATCTATTCTGCCGGTGTTCTCCAGCTGAGTACCTGTTTGGCAGTGTGGTCAAAAATCAACACCCACAATTTGGCACCGTCTATGGAAAAGAAAGGAGAATAGATGGCCATCAAAAGGAAGCTATCTGCAATGAACATGCGCAGAGCTAATACACAAAAAAATAAAAGCAAGACAATTGGTCATCCTAAAAGAGTGAAGTTGACCTCAATAACTCAGGCCTGCATAGGATATTTAACATGACCTTTAAGCATTGAATCAACTATGTTATTCTACAATGTAGCCTCATTAGAAAGAGACCTTTATTATGTATAAGTTTTTCAAAAACCAGACATCACTGCAACAATAATGTCCTACAAAACAAAGCTATAATAACAAAATTGCTACTCAAATGGACAATTTTATGGGATAATACATGAGTAATAATCTGAGTGGAGGAATGAGACTTGTGTCAACAAAAATCTTCATATTCATCAAGTTACGGACACGTGGGTCATGGAAAACTAGAATTCTCTTCAAGATAATTGCATCAGATGCATTTACCTGACAAAGAACGTTGAATTGTAATTCAACGAAGTTGAAGGAAAATTCATAAATCATCAAAACAACATTGTCAATATCAAAAGCACAACATTCTCTCTCCCTCTCCCTCTCCCTCTTTGAGACACTCGGGGCGGATCAAATATTCTTGATGCAGACAATAATTACATTGATCTTCTTGTAGATGATGAAGATGACTCCTATTTCGGACCAAGAGCTTCTCCTAACATGGAAGCAATTTTCAAACTCAGGCCTTTGAAAGTGATATGAAGTTTTGGCTGTTGATAGCATTCATTTTTCTCTAAGTAGTGTGATATTGAGTAGGCATTAACCAAATTCTGACATTAAAAGAGTTTGTCTTATTTCTTTGTCACTGTCATGAAATAGTTTTCACTTGGAGACAACGAGATTAGATTCAAAAGTGGACTCAACGTGCTAAGTATCTGCTGCAAATGTTGAGAACTGTGAGAAAATTTGATCCACTCCTCTCTTTAATGGGATCAAGGACATTTATAAGCTAAATTTAGAAATAGATTCTTGCCCACACCCCCTAACAAACGTAATTAATAATACCCAACCCAACCCAACCCAGCCCAGCCTAGTCCAGCCTAATGCCCTCTTTTCCAACATCAAAATTGTTAAGAAGCTTGGTGTTTCACCTGTGAGGTTAATGTGGTAAGATAATATTAATGCAAGTGAAATTTATCCGAGAAAGGTCAAAACAATTATTGAATTTGCAATGACTTAATAAGCCTTCGTGGCTCAGAGACATTCTATGGACCTTGACCATAGCATATAATAAGGAAGGACATGCATAGCCAAAATTAGGATATTAAAATGAATGATTAGCAATAACATAAAACTAGAAGTTGATTCATTCTTGACAAGTTCAAGGTCACATCAATTCTAAACAAAATTATATAAAGGAGCTGAGAAGCTTTTATCAAGTGCGATACATACCGACTACCACATTAATAATATATACAAAATGTTGCATAGAATATTACCTGCCTGCGATGGTTTTTAAAATCATATATTGGGACTTGGACAGATCGCCACTTTTGAGTTTCTCAATGCATTGTACAAGCTGTTCGGAGTCAAAAGCATCTACACACAAGCAAACTTATATTTGAGATTTTCACAAAAGCTCCTGTGCATTCTACTGAATTCTAGTTGCACCATATAGTCAGCAAAGTAGAGAAAAAAACACCAACAGAGTTTACATACAAATTAAAGGCCTATAGCAATACTTAATTATAAATTTTATTACCAGGATAATCAAAGTTATATTCATGTAGTCGTTGTGTTTCTTCAGTTGTCAAGCCACAATAAAATGAATCCTACATATAAGCCACACCAAACATATATCAGGAAATTTGAAAGAGAAATTTGCTTTTATAAAAGAGTGAGTAATCCAAGCCAATTAACCAGGTGTTTATCAAAATTCCTACTGCGTTCCATATTGTAGCCATAGAATCCTTAACAACAAAAGTTGAAAAATATGCATACCATACATGACATTTAACTCTTTGGTAAAAAAATCCCAACCATACACTGCCAGGTATTACTCACATTTACGATCATGACCATAACACCAGAAGGCCGTAGTAAAACACTCAATAAAATGAGCTGGGTTTTTACTGGGGTCAAATGTCATTCAATGAAATAATAAACTAAAAGAAAGAAAATTATAGGAAAAATGAAATTTAAAAAAGAAACCAAGAGAAATAAAGTGTGCCGAACACAACAATTGGTCAAAATTATCAAAAAGTTCATTGCATTCACCACTGCAGTAGTATATTACACCGAGCATCAAATTTTAAGTAAGAATTACGTATACCAGATTAAAAACACCTATCAATAAGAGCATCGCAGAAAATATAATCATAACTAACTAACTTGACATTCCAACATAACAAAAAAATCATTACAGATCAAAGTATTTCAAAAAAAAAAAAAAATTGTATTATCACACTTAGAGAGGTAGAGAAAGAGGGAAGCTCTACCCATGTGAAATGAAACTATTAGCTACAAAGTAAGAATATAATTTTTAGAATGTTAGAGAGTAAAATGTAATTAGATCAAATCTCAAGGTGTCAGTGTAATTTACCATAAATTAATAGAACTGTGAGGATGTTTGTGCAAAAGAACACGAAAAAACAAGCCTTTTCCCTCGCTATCTCTTTCTCATCACTGTCAGTGTCAAACACCAAATCTTTTCCCTCGCCCTGCGTTACATTTGAACCCTACATTTTCTCTCTCCGACACCAAATCTTCTTCAATCTCTCTTGATCCAGCCTACATTACTCACAATACAAAGCAAGATTTCATCGGCTCAGTTTGCCAATCTCTGGTTTTCAAGCCCTCTGACGATGGAGGTGTCTTCGAAGGCTTCGTTGAGAAGATCGGCTCCATCATTCGCAAATCGGGAATCGGACTCTTCTCGAAGCCTCTAGTCCCTGCACTTCCACTGATTGCCAAGTCTGATGCGATCAAAGTCAAGAAAGACGACGCCCGACGATCTGGTGGAGAAAAGGTGAATTGATCGGTTGCGGCGCATTTGGAAGGGTTTATATGGGACTCAATATCGATTCTGGAGCTCTTCTAGCCATCAAGTAGGTTAATTTTTATTCTTTTTTTTTTTTGAAATCTGTTTGGTTTTGATTTTGTTACTTTCTAATTTTTTAATATCTATGCAATGCAGGTTTCAATTGCAGGCAACAGTGCTTCAAAAGAAAAAAACACAGGTTTTGTATTTCATAAATTAAAATTTTATTTGTTAGTTAAGTAAATTTTGGCCAAAAGTTATGATTAAATTGTAACAAATAATTCAATTAGATTTTTTGAATTACTTAAAAAAACCCAAGTTTATTTCTAGTAATAGTATAAATCCGGTATTAGATCTATTTTTAGTGTGTAATGTGACTTCAAACCAATAGATGTATTTTTTAAATTATTTGTGGCATATAGATAAAGGAGCAAATGAACTAAATAATAGATTTTTTAATTAATTACAAATTAATTTGAATTTTTGATGCTTCCAAAACTCATTGATTAAATTTTTAAAAAAATAAACAAAAATTTATTGATTTTAGGAGAGTCCAATGCATACATATAATTGAACAAAACTCAAAACTTGTTTAACAACCAGCAAATAAATGTTCAAATTTAAAGATAAACATAAATAAAATATTAATTTTTTAATATTATTAAGTTTGTATTCAATTTTGCACATTAATTCAAGTCCTCATAGTTTTTTCATCTCCTTCTTCTTCTTACCCTTAACTTTAGCTTCTTATGATGATGATTATAAAAAGATATTCATTACTCTGAGTCACAATAGTGCCATACCCTCAACTTTAGCTTCTTATGATGATGATTACAAAAAGATATTCATCACTCTCAGTCACAACAGTGCCATTACTTTTTTGTTTGTCCGAAATATTTGAAAAGGAAAAACACTATGAAAATGGAGAAATGATTGAATAATTTTTAAAAAGTGATTCAATATTAAAAATAAAAATATGAAACACACAATTGAAAAATGTCCGAGAAGAAAAAAAGCAAAATAAAATAAAACCTTTAGAATTGTAGTGATATACCCATGTCTTCATAAGTAAATTGTAGATAAACAGGTTTTGAGCGAGTGTTTATTTAGAAAGATATGGAGAAGTAATCATGTTGTTGTAACAAAGAAGAGAGCATGCAATCAAGAGTTGAACTTTAGCTTCTTATGATGATGATTACAAAAAGATATTCACCACTCTCAGTCACAACAGTGCCATTACTTTTTTGTTTGTCCGAAATATTTGAAAAGGAAAAACACTATGAAAATGGAGAAATGATTGAATAATTTTTAAAAAGTGATTCAATATTAAAAATAAAAATATGAAACACACAATTGAAAAATGTCCAAGAAAAAAAAAAGCAAAAGAAAATAAAACCTTTAGAATTGTAGTGATATACCCATGTCTTCATAAGTAAATTGTAGATAAACGAGTGTTTATTTAGAAAGATATGGAGAAGTAATCATGTTGTTGTAACAAAGAAGAGAGCATGCAATCGAGAGTTGTGAGTTTTTTTTTTCCTTCATCATCTTTAATTTCATTTTGGTGGGAATAGTACAACTATTTATAGAGATTGGAATACGAACATAAGAGAAGTTTTTTTAGATTTTTTATAGAAAAGAAATAAGGATAACTATGTAGGATTTTTGTCTTTTATTTTTAATTTGCTTCTTTTTATCTCTTGGTTTTTTATTTGTTTTTATTTTTTTAGATTTTTGTAGAAGAGAGATAAGGATAACTATATTGGATTTCTATCCTTTTATTTGAATTGTGGGAAATAAAGATATTATGTGATTTTTTTTTATTATTTTACTTTTATTTTTTTATATAGGGAGAGGAAGTGAGAAGACTTGGGTAACGGATTTTCATCTCCTCTTCCTTTTCCCATGTGGCCTCCTCGCCATAATGCTTCTCCCATTCGATTTTCACCATTGATATCGACTTGTTTCTCAATTGTCTCACTTGTCTGTCGATAATTCTCATCGGCTTCTCTTCGTAGCCCAAGTCTTCATTAACCACAACTCCGGAATAATCTATTACATGTAGTGTAACGCCCTCAAAATAATAACAATAAACCCATCAGATTCCCATTTGAGAACCAAGATTAAAAGCTGCATTTTGCAGCTTGGGGGTAAAAGGCTAGATTGGCTTTTTTAACAATAAGTCATTTGGGAAGTCCAAAAAAGTTGCATGTGAAATTACCATTACACCCTTCATGTTGTCTAGGGTTGTACATGGGTAAAAATGTAAATTTAGTAAATTGTGTAGGGATATTTTGGTCATTTGATTGTGATGTGACATTATAAACAAATATTAATTGAAAAAGCCAAAAGCAATTTTTTACGAACTTCCCAAATCACTTTCTAAAAAAGCCAAAAACTTGATAAAAAACCAAAAGCCAGCTTTTTACCATTTTCCCAAAACACTCCTAAATTGGTAGTTTTCCATTTTAATGTTTAAAGATTTTTGCTTTAGTTGATTGGCAAGAGTATGTTATTTGAATTTGACCTTTTTTAATTTTTGTTAGGCCCACATTAGAGAGCTTGAAGAAGAAGTGAACCTTCTTGAGAATCTTTCACATCCAAACATTGTTGTAAGTATTTGATTTGCATTCTTCCTGAAGCAATAGTTGTTCATTTTTATTGTCTTGTCTGTCTATTTTTATATTTTTGGTTGGTTTTCTAACTTTACTCGTCTCTTCTTTTTCTTGAAGAGATACTTGGGAACAACTAGAGAGGAGGCATCGTTGAATATTTTGTTGGAAATTGTCCCTGGTGGATCTATCTCTTCACTTCTGGGAAAATTTGGTTCATTCCCCAAGTCTGTAAGTTGATTACTACTTATTCAAATTATATATTTTTTGTTTTTGAGTATTGAAGTTTATATCAAATAACACTTTGTCGAGAGGCAAGGCCTGCTTATTGACTTAAAAATTTTCATTTTAGGATGTTTTTTTAATCAACAAAATAAGAAAACTCTATTGATAAAATCAAAACATTACATATGAAGACCATCAATAAAGAAAAGACAAGAGCTTGAAAGCATCATAGCACCTCAACCTGATCCCAACTAAGTTGGCACCAAGAAGGATGCCCAATCTTGTGCTAGCTCAAGCCAAAATGTTGGTGAGAAACCAACAACAAACAGAAAAATCACCCCAAAACAAAGGAGTAACAAACAATCAAACAGACCCCACCTGTTAAAACTATCCTACAGACAACAATCTCCACAGCCAAAAATTAGCCCAGAATTTTGATTCTATTTCGTTGCCTTGAGCAAGGTTGAACACCACATCATTAATAGAAAAATATATCCCATGTGTGTTATATTTCAACCATAAAGCAATTCTAACCTTCAGCAACACCCCGAAATCCATAAAATCTAGTTGAAGTGCATTGAACACACATTCATTTCTGAGCTTCCACACAGACCACATGATAGCAAAAGGAATAGAATGTCATATCATCCTTTCAAACCTGCTACAACTTGTACCTAACCACCATTCCAGAAGATCTCTAATAGACCCAGGAATTACCCAAGACAAGTTCCACCAATCCAATAATTTAGACCACATTCTCCATACCAAAAGGCAATATAGCAGGATGTGATTGACAGTTTCCACATTCTCCCTGCAAAACAGACAATAATTGTTCACATTGGGATCCAAAACTGCAATTCTTTGAAGATAAAAAGCCGTTTTCACTCGAACTTTCCAGGCCAACCAACCAACCAAAAAATTTCACTATTGGTGGTGCACTGTTACCCCACAACAGTTTAGTAATCCTAAGAGATGGGCCTTGAGCAGACTCACACCATCTTCTGGCAGAGGAAACAGAAAAAGAGCCCGATGGTTCTGCATTCCACCAAGCTTGATCATCAATATTAATCCTTAGCTTGGGAACATCCTCCGATACCTCAATAAGCCTTTTAACCTCCTCCTCTTCCCAGGCTCTTAAAGGTCTTTTGAATGAGAACTGTCACCCTCCAGCTGCATCTCTGATTTGAACAAAAGACTTCAAGGAGCCATCCTTAGCCTCTAATAAGTTAAAAAGCCTAGGGAAGACATCCTCCAACTTTCCAATCACCAACCATTTGTCTCTCCAAAAGTGTGTCCTTTCACCATTACCAATCACAATTTTAAAATTTTCAACAAAAAATAAGTGCAGATCAACATTTGACACAATAGAAATATATCTCGCCAAACTAAGGACATAGATCTAGTAATCACCACATTTGAAATTTCTCCTAGAACCTGTTTGCCAAGTAGGTTATGAGAATGTACATGAGATGAAAAGCTAAACTCAGAACTTGAAAACCTTGCTTCTATACTATGTAATTTGCGTGTTTGAAAACCTTGCTTGAAAACCATGATTGAATTTCCAACAGATTATGATCAAGAAATGTTGTTTGCATTACTAGAAAAATAACTTTTTGCGTCTAATTATTTGACCGTCGCAAAAAAAAATTATTTGCAACGGCAGATCAGCCGAAGTTAAAACTTATGAACCCTCTATGCCCAATTTATATTTTCCTTTTTTCTTAAACTCTCATTTTCCCCAAATCAGATTGTGTGTTAACTTGCCGAGTAAGAGAATCTGATTTCCCTCTCTCGATTTCGATCTATAGATCACCATGGTCGTCTGAAGAAGAGATCTCCAACAGTATGAACTCTTTTTTTTTTTTTTGGGTAAGTATCAAAATGGAGATTTATTTACCCAAAAAAAAATTAGGGTAAATTACCAACAATTCCTAATAATTAATTTAATTCCCATAAAATTCTATTGAAAATAAGTCATTTTAAAATCATCGTTAAAAATAATTTTTGTGACGATTTTTTGCATATGTCTCTAAAAATTAACAATTAGTGACTTTTTGTCACAGTTTTTATAAATTGTCACTAAAACTTACAATTAGCAATATTTTTCTGTGATGAATTCTTTAAGCTGTCATTGAAGGCTGAAACTTCCTCATCTGCTACAAGTACAAGTTGAACTATTCAATTCTTAATTGTTATCGCTTCACCTTCCAATTCTCACCTCTCTCTCTCTCTTTATATATATATATATAGCATTGCTCTCACATGCTTGCTTGTTTTCACCTCCTTGGTTGTAATAGATTGTGGTTGTAATTAATCCAAAATTATAAGTCTTGTTATATTTTTTCCAAATGTCAGAGAGATCAGTGTAATTCATCATCTCTTCTTCTTCTTTTTTTCTTTTTTTTCTTTTTTAAATTATGTTGAAATTTTTGTTATTCCATTCTTTCTAGTATAGAAGAATTTAACCCCAAAAAACCAAAAAAAAAAAAAAAAACTAAAAATTTTCTATTTTGGCCTCTTTTATTTTTTTTTTGGGGGGGGGGGAGGTGTTCGTTTAGTCAAGTAGAGTTTAAGAAGGTAAATTTTAAAAAATAACGAGACAGAAAAAGAGTCAACAATAAAGTTATTAAAAAATTAATCTCGAATTTTGATGAAGAATGGAAATTTATAATTAATGTACAATATCATATGATAATATCAAGTGATGCCTTCTATAGACTACATGTACCCAAATATAAGGTGGTAGCACAAATGAATAGGAGAGAAAAAAAGAGAGGTTTAATGGACTAGTAAAGTAGAAATGAACTTGTGAATTGATTTAATTTTTTTTTTATAAATGACGTATATGAAAGATTTTTTTTAAAAAAAAAAACTGATTCATATTATTAAAACTAATTTGAACCATACGTTTCCATCTAAATCTAAACTAGATAAAAACTCAACTCTCTTCCACAAAATATGTTAATCTCATTTCATATAAGATAATTATATTTAATTATTTTTTATTGAAGTCTATGTACATAAAACAACTTCTTGTTAAGTGGTACCATAAACTAATTAATAAAGGTCCTGTTTGGGATGAGCGTTTGGATTAAAATAGTCAGTTGTAGCACTTGTGTCCTTTAAAGCTTTTGGTAAGTGTATTTGAACCCTTTATTTTATTTTGGGAATCTTTGGTGCTGTTGTACCTTAGTTTTGGAGGTGTACAAATTGATTTAAACTTGTTAGGATTGCTCATTCACGCTTGTTCGCGTTGAAAAGTTGTTTGGAAACTTGAAAATCATGTTCTGGGGTCGACACTGGTCTTGGTGGTGTCGACACCTTCTCTTTTACTTGGCCGCAAGGGTCGACGCCAATCTGGGAAGAGTCGACCCTTATTCTGAAATTGCTCACTGCATTTTGGTGTCGACACCAACCTGGGGAAGGGTCGACACCTGCTGTGCAGTCAAACTTAGTGTTCCAGCTTTTCTTCTTGGGGGTCGACACCTGTGTTGCAAGGGTCGACACCTACGATGTTTTTTTCAAATTTTTCTATTGATTTGGGGACTACTTTTGGGGGTTTTGACCAGATATTTTGGGTTGACTTTGGGGCTTATTTCTAACTTTATCTAGTGCTATAAATAGGCTCTCACTTAACCCTTTTCTTTATGTCTTCTTTCCTTTTCTCCATCTAAATCGTGAGTCTCTCTCTCTTTCTCAAAAAACACATTTCACTCATAGATCCTTAGATCTGCTTGCTTGAAGGCCTCTATTCACCTTGCTCCTTTGAGATACATTGTAGAGCTTGTCGAGGGCTTCATTTTGATCGGAGCAAAACGTCGTTTTTCGTTCGTCAACTTTTGAGTTTTTCTTTCTTCTTCCTCTTCTAAGCTTGAGGTAGGGATATTCTACTCTCCTATATGGATTTTAACATAGATATTGTCATCTTGTATAAACGGTGTGATTTGGAAAGGTTTTTGGTAAAATTTTGGTTGGTTTCCATATGTATAAAAAAGTGGTTTTCTATTTGGGTGCTTATGGGCATGAGAGGTCTTGAACATATTATGACTTGAGAAGAATTGATGAAATATGGTCTTTGGTATAATGTTTGATAAAGGGGGAGATTTGCCCTAATTGAATTAAATAAGTTATTTCGTATAAATAACGAGATTTGCTTGGAAATTATGGGATTGAAGGAACATGTGATTAAATGGTGTAGTTGGATTAATAAATTACTCACCTATGGAAATGTCGATAAATTATCTATTTGATAGATTTATTTATTTGTTTAGAAATAACTGTTTTGGGCTATCAGTGGAGGATAGTCATGATTGTTGTAGAAACTGCATGATAATTAGTTAAATTGAGACTAATCAATTAGAATATGTCATTGAATATGATGGTTAGATATAAAAATTGAATATGCGATTGAATTGGTCATTGTATATGACAACGTATTTAAATACATTGTATATGTATCTTTGTTTGTGAGGAGATAGGGGATGCACTTCATTGTTTGGGAGGAGATAGGGGATGGACTCCATTGATAATTAAGTTGGCCAGAGTATTCAGGGTGAAAGTCCCGAAATCTTATATATATTTGGGTACCGGTACCCTCGGACGTAGTTCCGTAAAATAGCAAGAAATAGAAGTGTATGAATAAATGTTTATGATTGAAGAGTTGACAAATGAGTTGTAGTCTCATTTTGAATTGTTTAAACGATGATGAACTATGTCCATGAATTGATTTGGACAAGCAAATGTAAATGAATGGAAGTATGGATGTCAATGTTGATTGGTTATAGATGTGTAAGTTGGTTTTCAAGTGTTAAACATTTATCGAATGCTGATGTTTTAGTTAATTCTCATATATTGTTTAGCATATCTCTACTGGGTTTTGGCTCACCTTACTTGGGACACCATTTTTCAGGTGTAGGTTACATGCCACCTCCAAGGACATAGCTTGGGAGGTTTAGCGGTTGAAGACTCCATTTTGTACATTTTGTTTGGTGTTAAATGTGAATCCAAGCCAAGGGCTTTATATGTAAAGAGTTAGAACTCTTCTTTTGTTGTAACCAAGTGTTAACTTGGAAAGCTGTAAGCCCTTTGGGCACTTATTTTTGTTGTTTAGAAGTTAGAGTTACATGCTACAGTTTCAAGATTAATGCTTATGAAAATGTAATGCATGTAATGTCTTTGTAAAGGAAACTCTGATGATTGAAGAGATGGTATTTCTCCTATGTTTATGACAATTTGTGAATGGTTGTCTTGTTCTTTTTTTGAGGGCATTACAGTCATGTAGGACAAAATAGACTATTTTAATTAAATAAGATAAAATGTCACATCCAATCCATAATCATTTCATTTTTTCTCTCACAAAAGTTAAAAAATTTTAAAAGTCTATCACAAATGAGACTTTTTAACTTTAAGCTAAAATAACTAAAAAGCTAAAAAGCCAATCCACATTCCAAAGGAACCCATAATGGAGAGAGAGAGAGAGAGAGGGAGATGGCTTTGGCATTGAATGATGTTAGATTTTTTTTTTTTTTTTTTGGAATTTAATATTTGTAGGATGACATTAGTGAACCATAGAAGAAGAAACAAAAAAGGATGACCATTGTGTGGTCCTTTTGGTAATTGTCACGTTGCATTGCATTCACATTTCATTTATTTACATTATTATTATTTTTTTTAAATGACATTTAGTACCTAAATTCACATTGCCTCCACTGATATTAAAAAATATAGATTGCGTTTGGTTTAATTTTTTAAATGAGTTTTTATTTGTCTTTAATAATTTTTTTTATATTTAATTAATTTTTGTTAAATACAGCAAAATTAGATACATCTCTTATGTTGTGACATTTATTTATTTGTCTTGCAAAAATCAATAAAAGTACTCTATATTTTGAGTTTTCAAAAATATTTTTTTTAAATATTTAATTCATTTTTTAGTAATTTTTTTTTATATTGCAATTAAGTTTTAAATTTTTTTGATCTAGCTCAAGTAGATATAAAAATTTTAAAAATAAATAAATAAATAAATATTGGTTAAAAAAATAAAAACGTTCACTATAAAAAATATATGAATTGAAAATTCAAAAAACTACACTTGAAAACTCCAATCAATAAAAATTGAGGGCTACTAAATGCCCCTACCTTTCTATTGTAGATCTCCTGCTTCTATGGCCTTCCATCACCAAAATTGCTTCCCTCTTTAATTTTCTTTTGACCCCTACCATAATCCCAAATATACCTTTGAACCTCACCCGTACACTTTCTACTTGTAACTCCTCATCCTCTTCTCCGGTAGTCCCCCTTCCACTCCGGCTACCCTCTCTCTCCGGCCAACTAGTTTGGAATAGTATTCTCAAAGATAAATTTATTCCTTGTGGTCTAGATTTGATCATTGAACAATGGCCAACAATGATCATTCAACAAAATTTCAACGTCAATAATTATTAAATTTGATTCAAATCTGTGACACATATTCAGGGTAAAATTGCCTAGAAAAAAGGAAAAATATATATACTAATCTGTCTTTTATAAAGAACACGCTTCTTGTTCAGGAGGTTTAAGAAATAAAACAGTTTAGATTGTCCTTTACACAGTAACATGTTGGGCATAGAGAATTTTGGCTAAATTTTCCTATTATTGTCGACAAATACTGACTTTATTTTTTATTTTTGTCAAATAAAAGAACATGAATTTATTGAAAGAAATAAGACATACAACTAAAGATGCCATCATCAACCAATTGTTAATTGGAATCTCATATTGGAACGATTTGGTGCAATTTATGTGCTACTTAGTATAATTTTCTTTTCTTTTCTTTTTTAATTTGTGCAAGAATTTTGGTGTCACTTTTGCTTACATTTTCATAAGAAAAAAAATAGTTTGAATAAAATGAAAAAAATATAATTTTTGAAAAGCAAAACAAAAAAAACAAAAAAGTGATTTTAATTTATATTTTTTGATTATCCATATCAGTGGAGGATAGTCATGATTGTTGTAGAAACTGCATGATAATTAGGTAAATTGAGACTAATCAATTAGAATATGTCATTGAATATGATGGTTGGATATAAACATTGAATATGTGATTGAATTGGTCATTTTATATGACAACGTATTTAAATACATTGTATATGTATCTTTGTTTGTGAAGAGATAGGGGATGTACTTCATTGTTTGGGAGGAGATAGGGGATGGACTCCATTGATAATTAAGTTGGCCAGAGTATTCAGGGTGAAAGTCCCGAAATCATATATATATTTGGGTACCGGTACCCTCGGACGTAGTTCCGTAAAATAGCAAGAAATAGAAGTGTATGAATAAATGTTTATGATTGAAGAGTTGATAAATGAGTTGTAGTCTCATTTTGAATTGTTTAAACGATGATGAACTATGTCCATGAATTGATTTGGACAAGTAAATGTAAATGAATGGAAGTATGGATGTCAATGTTGATTGGTTATAGATGTGTAAGTTGGTTTTCAAGTGTTAAACATTTATCGAATGCTAATGTTTTAGTTAATTCTCATATATTGTTTAGCATATCTCTACTGGGTTTTGGCTCACCCTACTTGGGACACCATTTTTCAGGTGTAGGTTACATGCCACCTCCAAGGACATAGCTTGGGAGGCTTGGGGGTTGAAGACTCCATTTTGTACATTTTGTTTGGTGTTAAATGTGAATCCAAGCCAAGGGCTTTATATGTAAAGAGTTAAAACTCTGAGTTAGAACTCTTCTTTTGTTGTAACCAAGTGTTAACTTGGAAAGTTGTAAGCCCTTTGGGCACTTATTTTTGTTGTTTAGAAGTTAGAGTTACATGCTACAGTTTCAAGGTTAATGCTTATGAAAATGTAATGCATGTAATGTCTTTGTAAAGGAAACTCTGATGATTGAAGAGATGCTATTTCTCCTATGTTTATGACAATTTGTGAATGGTTGTCTTGTTCTTTTTTTGAGGGCATTACAGTCATGTAGGACAAAATAGGCTATTTTAATTAAATAAGATAAAATGTCACATCCAATCCATAATCATTTCATTTTTTCACTCACAAAAGTTAAAAAATTTAAAAAGTCTATCCCAAACGAGACTTTTTAACTTTAAGCTAAAATAACTAAAAAGTTAAAAAGCCAATCCACATTCCAAAGGAACCCATAATGGAGAGAGAGAGAGGGAGATGGCTTTGGCATTGAATGATGTTAGATTTTTTTTTTTGGAATTTAATATTTGTAGGATGACATTAGTGAACCATAGAAGAAGAAACAAAAAAGGATGACCATTGTGTGGTCCTTTTGGTAATTGTCACGTTGCATTGCATTCACATTTCATTTATTTACATTATTATTATTTTTTTTAAATGACATTTAGTACCTAAATTCACATTGCCTCCACTGATATTAAAAAATATAGATTGTGTTTGGTTTAATTTTTTAAATGAGTTTTTATTTGTCTTTAATAATTTTTTTTATATTTAATTAATTTTTGTTAAATACAGCAAAATTAGATACATCTCTTATGTTGTGACATTTATTTATTTGTCTTGCAAAAATCAATAAAAGTACTCTATATTTTGAGTTTTCAAAAATATTTTTTTTAAATATTTAATTCATTTTTTAGTAATTTTTTTTTATATTGCAATTAAGTTTTAAATTTTTTTGATCTAGCTCAAGTAGATATAAAAATTTTAAAAATAAATAAATAAATAAATATTGGTTAAAAAAATAAAAACGTTCACTATAAAAAAATATATGAATTGAAAATTCAAAAACTACACTTGAAAACTCCAATCAATAAAAATTGAGGGCTGCTAAATGCCCCTACCTTTCTATTGTAGATCTCCTGTTTCTATGGCCTTCCATCACCAAAATTGCTTCCCTCTTTAATTTTCTTTTGACCCCTACCATAATCCCAAATATACCTTTGAACCTCACCCGTACACTTTCTACTTGTAACTCCTCATTCTCTTCTCCGGTAGTCCCCCCTTCCACTCCGGCGACCCTCTCTCTCCGGCCAACTAGTTTGGAATAGTATTCTCAAAGATAAATTTATTCCTTGTGGTCTAGATTTGATCATTGAACAATGGCCAACAATGATCATTCAACAAAATTTCAACGTCAATAATTATTAAATTTGATTCAAATCTCTGACACATATTCAGGGTAAAATTGCCTAGAAAAAAGGAAAAATATATATATTAATCTGTCTTTTATAAAGAACACGCTTCTTGTTCAGGAGGTTTAACAAAAAAAAACAGTTTAGATTGTCCTTTACGCAGTAACATGTTGGGCATAGAGAATTTTGGCTAAATTTTCCTAATATTGTCGACAAATACTGACTTTATTTTTTATTTTTGTCAAATAAAAGAACATGATTTTATTATCATCAACCCATTGTTAATTGGAACAATTTGGTGCAATTTATGGGCTACTTGGTATAATTTTCTTTTTTTTTTTTAAAAAAAATTTGTGCAAGAATTTTGGTGTCACTTTTGCTTACATTTTCATAAGAAAAAAAATAGTTTGAATAAAATGAAAAAAATATAATTTTTGAAAAGCAAAACAAAAAAAACAAAAAAGTGATTTTAATTTATATTTTTTGATTATCCAGTTTCAACATGTTAAAATCTACACCAAACATAGTGATAATAGTCTTCAATTGAAATAGCCTTAGCAATTCTGTTTTATTGTGTTGGTTTGGGATATAAAATCATGTGATTAGACTATGTATCTAGTCAATTCTTAATTCCATTTTTGGATGTAAAAATGGGTCTTTAAATTTTTTTTATATTGATGTATTATAGTTACATGCTACAGTTTCAAGATTAATGCTTATGAAAATGTAATGCATGTAATGTCTTTGTAAAGGAAACTCTGAAGAGATGGTATTTCTCCTATGTTTATGACAATTTGTGAATGGTTGTCTTGTTCTTTTTTTGAGGGCATTACAGTCATGTAGGACAAAATAGGCTATTTTAATTAAATAAGATAAAATGTCACATCCAATCCATAATCATTTCATTTTTTCTCTCACAAAAGTTAAAAAATTTAAAAAGTCTATCCCAAACGAGACTTTTTAACTTTAAGCTAAAATAACTAAAAAGTTAAAAAGCCAATCCACATTCCAAAGGAACCCATAATGGAGAGAGAGAGAGGGAGATGGCTTTGGCATTGAATGATGTTAGATTTTTTTTTTTTGGAATTTAATATTTGTAGGATGACATTAGTGAACCAT